CCGGTGCATCTACCCTATCGCCTAATTCAGCGAATCGGTCGGTATCGAACGGCGCAGTCGTTTCCGTATGTGGGTCAGTGGTCGATACGCGTGTCCGATGTGTCCGGCGTGCAGTAGCATCAAGCGACGCAGCCCCTTCTCACTCTCTCTCTCTCTCTCTCTCTCTCTCTCTCTCTCGGCGTTGGCGTTTTCAAGCTGGCGAAACCGAGCGGAATCGAAGCGGAATCGAGGCGTGTCACGCCGAGGCGCGGCGCTGCTAAGAGGAACGCGTACGCCGTTCGCAATCGGAATGATTCATCGGGGCCGATTCGCGATCACCTTCGAGATCGGCGAGCTCGTAACGGTCTCGTAATAGATCTCGCAACGATCTCGAAGAGGAAATCGGCCTGGCCGGAGAGCCTTCGGACGGTTAGGTTAATCCGGCGTTGTAATAAGGTCGCAGCCCTTCCGGCGACCGAGCAAATCGCGTTAGAACGCCGTCGGCTGACGACATAATCATATCCAGACCCGAGTAGTCCGTAACTCTTTATCGAATTAGCCGAGCTAGACAGTGGAGTGGTCCTTGAACCTAGCGCGCCCCACGGAATCACCACCCCGGCTTCATGATTTTCATTTACAAAATCACGAAATTCTAAGACCGTCCGCTACACGCTCTTCCGAACGGAATTCAAGGTGTATCGATTTTAATTAGAATCTCGCAACGTTGTTGTACACACCGTCGAAATTCGTCGCATCGATCGAAGGAGAATCGCGGCTACAGTGATGTCTCCCTTACTGACGCTCAGGTTGCGTACAGAAATGGACAATTGGCAAAGCGGAGATACGATTGTTCGCGCCTTGCATCTCGTTTTTATAGTTGTTGACAATTCGTAATTATAAAAACAAACCGCAATGCTCGAACAATCGTATCTCCTCTCCCCAAATTGCCCACTTTTGTGGACAATCCGAGCGTCAGTTAGAGAGACATTACTGTATTTCGTTTCTCATCGACTTTTTTCCTCGGCGATCAAATCACGTGATGATAATCACCTCTGACCTCGCGCGATCTAATTACGCATTCGCGTAGAGTCGAACGGCTATAGCCCGGACGGATTAAACATTAATGTAAACGAGACTCGTTAAATTCTTTCGACGACGTCGCTGTTTTCGTTCGCTTTTCCTTCGCGTAAATGCGCGGAATCCGCGGCGAATAGGAGATCGTTCGATTCTCGGTTCGCCGGCGAAATATGTACAGTAGTGTCTCCCTTACTGACGCTCAGATTGTCCACGAAACTGGACAATTTGCGAAGAGGAGATACAATTATTCGAGCTTAGTTATAAATTGTCAACAATTATAAAAACGAGCCGCAAAGCTCGGATAATCGTATCTCCTCTTCCCAAATAGTCCATTTTTGTGGACAATCTGAGCGTCAGTAAGGGAGACATATTACTATATCTGGAAACAGGGGATTCGCAAGCGGATGGCAGCGAGAACAGCGGAAGAAACGCAAGAAGGGAGAGGCTCGGAAACTCATTTGGCCGGGACGGAAGCCCCGGGGGGAGAGTAGTTCCTTGGTCGATGATCGAGGATGCGTCGAAATTTCGAGCAATATGGCAATATAGCCGGCGCCCTACCACCGAACAAGTTGAACGACCCTATGAAGCGAGAGAGCCTCGGGTTCGCTCTACTTGCCTCCGCTAAAGTCGATGTCACTCCGTTCGATAATTGACAGCGCTGAAAATCCCGACAGACGCTAGAAATTGCATTAGCTCTCTCCGGGGGGAGAGGGGGAGGCGGGGACACCGACAGAGATAGCGATCGAGAGAGATGGGTCACAGAGCGACAGAGAAAGAGAGAGAGAGAGAGAGACTGAGGTTCGTCGTTGATATTACGTTAACGAAGCGCGCGATTTCCGAGAGAGAATTCCATCGAGTCAGCCAGCCATCCGGAGTGTCGGCAAAGAGAGAAAAAGGGACAATGCAGAACAAAGTCTGCGTAGCAAAAGTTGATGATCGGAGATGATTCAAGCCGGTCTGCGGTCCCTGTTCTCCAGGATCATGCGAGCGACGCGATCGCGCTGCCGTTCGTTCGCCTCTGCGAACCACGACCGGCGGCCCTTGTTTTTCGACATTCTAGTTTCTCTAGTCTCCCGTCGTCGTAGATTGTTAAATTCAGCGAGATATCGGCAACATTTCGAAGCAAGTTCAAGTTTAGAGATGCTAATGAGATGCTGATGAGTTTATTCTCAAGTTTAGAGATGAGATAGACTTGTTAAATTTAGTAAAAGATAGAAGACATTTGCGACCAACATAGACAATTTTTATTTCGCTTAAAAATCCGCAGTCAAATAAATGTTCGGATAAGGAAGCCTGTGCTTCGAACAGCTTATTTTCCGTCGACTGAAATTCTCGAACAATGAATCGTCTTTCCTCGGCATCCGGATCGTGCGATAGACCAAGGAAGCTCTCTTTTCCCGTAAAAATTCACGACCTGGCCGTCACCGTTCACCTGTGCGCGAATCCAGAATCAGCGAGCGTCGATCAAGAACCGTTCCCAGCTTCTTCGCTGGATAACAGAGGTCCTCGGGATCGATGGTTCAGGGCTTTCCTCGTGGATTCTCGAACGAAAGGACCGTTCTCCACGGATAAGGGCGAGAGGGACTGGGGTTAGAGGCGGACAACAGAGCCGATGAAAGGATCCGAAGAGCGGAAAGCCTACCTGTCTCGGTCGTAGGTTCTACGCAACGCAGCATCCTCGAATGGTACGCAGAGAAAGAGAAAAAAAAACAGAGAAAAAGAGAGAGGGAGACGGACAGAGTGAAAGGGAGCGAGTGTGAGAGAAAGAGAGCGAGAGAAAGAGAGAAAGCAGCGCCGGCTAGAAAAGTTATTCACCCCGAATCGATCCGTCCGATTGTCGAGCCGATGAAAGCCGTCCTAAGTAGTTAATTGGTCTGCTGCCCGATACCGGCGTTACCCTCTGCCACCCCCACCCCCTCTGTTCCTCTTATCCGTACCCATATCTGTACCCGGAACGCAGCCATACACCTGTGTGCCCGACCTATACCTATCGAACCATTCTCATTTCCATTCTCGTGCCCATTCCCATTCTCGTTTTCTCGATCCGCCAGGAGAGAGAGGGAGGGTCCGACAACTGATAATTAATCCGTATCGCCGCGCAACGCGACCGATCGAGGTTCGGGGGACCGAGGGATCGAGGCTCCTTTCTTTCGCCGAAAGGTATCGCGTTTCGTCTTCGAACCGGCTCGGCGGACATTCGACTCGAGCCTCCGGGAAAACCGATGTGAAACCGAGTTTCCGCGTCATAGATCCACAGACACCGATCCGCGTATAAATCCAGATGGAGAAAGGGCCGCCGCGAACGCGCAGCTTCGGCGGGGGGCCCCTCCTCGCTTCCAGCGATTTTTCAGGAATCGATCGAATTCGGTTGGCTGGCTTCAAGATTTCACCGTGCGGGAGGAAGCGAGTTTGTTATTAGGATGCTCGCTCGACGGAAACTCTGAGGCCGAGGAAAACGGGATCGTAGTTTCGCTGGGGATCGATTGAATTCTGCATCGAGCAGCCCTTTCGTTGAAAGTTTTTGGCTCGCGAAAGCGTTGAAACTGTTGCGCTTCGTTGCACCACTTCGCGCTCGTCGAGTAAGACGTTCCAAATTTTGTTCGCGCGAATGCAAGCGGACTGGAACGATGCGAAAGATTCGATACGTTTCACTCGATAAATACACAGAGTTAATTTTTGCCTGAAAACACAGCAGAAAGGTGTCGCCTCCACAGTGACCGACTCCGCTACCCTATTCCATTGATCGAAGCTCCGGCTTCGAAATGAAACCTGCACGGCGTTAAAGAGCGGTGCTCGCTGAATTTAAAGCAGCCCCGAGTTGCGACGTGTCCCGGAGTCCCGAAAATGTTGAAATTGGATCACTTTGATGCGTTTTGATATCGATCGAGGCTAAATTAAATCCGCGCGGCGTTCAAAGACCGGCCTTTATTCGAAGGAGAAGAGAGGCTTCGAGCAGCGTGGAAAATCGCGCGATTCTCGAGTCGTTTCTCCACGGCGTTCAAATTGCTGCACTTCGCTGTACTTTTCTCTCGATGGATGCCAGATGAAATCTCCGCTTTGATATTTCGAGAAGAGCTTTCCTAGCGGAGCCACGCGCCGCTCTCTCTCGCCGTGTATCCACGAAATTCTGAAAAATCGCGTAGACTCTTTGGTCGACGAAAATGTTTCATCTGTATCGCTGTTACGCGGATGCTGTTGATAAAACGTCGACGGGGAGAAAAAGAACGAAAAAACAGCAGCCCTCGTACACGAAATCGAAGAACTTGTTTGGTTTCAAGAGTAATTCGGTTCTCAAAAACTATCGAGATCTCGCCGCAGCGCCCGCTGCACAATTGCGCCGCTCGAAGCCGGATAAAATCAGCGCAGCGTGAAAGTGCAGTCTCGCGAGACACCAAAGAAGCTTGCCAAGGGAGGATGCGGTCGCCTAAAATCGGGAAGACCGGCGGCAGGGGCGGCACAGTCGACGACGGAGAGAGAAAGATATCTCGCTCGCGGGGGGGCTGACTGCCGCGGAAACCCGCGGATTCGCCCGCTCGATTATTCGTAATCGGAATATATTCCGTGGAATCGGCGCGGCGGGGCATCCAGTCGAGACGAGAGACGGTCTTTGATCGTCGAGGCAGCAGCCGCCGGAGGAGAGGCCGTAGACTCTTGGCCCGAGAGATCGATCTAGAAGGCTGCTAATTTTTGCGGGCCGAGGAACACAGCTCGGATCGGACCGGACTGGATTCGATCGGATCGGATCGGATCGCAGGCGAACCGCAAGGTATCCCTCGACACGCGCGAAAACAAGCAAAGCAAAGGCTAGGCGAGGCGAGGCGAGGCGAGGCGAGGCGAGGCGAGGCATGGCGAGGCGAGGGGAAGCGAGGAGGTGCGAGGAGAAGCGAGAAACAGGCGCGGCGGTTGTGTGGCTCGTTGTTCTTTTCCGGGATTAATCTACTTACTCTGGAGCAGGATTTCTCCAGCGTTGCGTTCCAAACCACGCCATCAGGCATCGACCGGCCCTGGCCTGAAACATGCGAAGAGCTCTATGAGTCTCGTTGCAACCCGCTGCTGCGACCCGGTGCAACCCGAAGACGCCGCGCGCGATAACAAGGTCCGACGCGAGGCCATATCGCGCCGGATTCGATCGCGCCCTCTCTTCCAACCCCCTATCTATCCATCTATCTATCTATCTAGCCATCTATCTCTAGCTCTCTCTCCCTCTCTCTCCCGCTTTCTCTCGAGACCGACGTTTACACTTATTATGTAAGCAGCGCCATAGTACCGCTAACTTCGGCTAGATCGTGCATATTTCAGCAAAGTGCTGCCACTCGAGACTCGCTCGCGTTTTTCCCCGGCAGAATCCCTTCAACTACGCTTACCCGATGCTCGAGAGGAACCCGACAGCTCCCTCATCCCCTATTCCCGCTACTTTCAGCCTCTCTCTGTCCCTAAGCTCTCCTCGTCCCCGTCCCTTTCGCCATCGCCATCCCCGTGTCCCTCTGTCCCTTCTGTCCCCGTGTCCTCGCCGAGACTTGCTCAGCAGAAAACGCGGCCTTCTATGTACTTTTCATTTGTCCCTCAAACTTTATACCCTACCTACACCCCCTCTCTTTGTCTCTGTCTCTCTCCCTCTCTCTTTCTTTCTCTTCTGGCTGATTCCAACCGGAAAACCCGATGATCGAGATACATGTCGGGAGATCGAGGAGGTCGCGAGATATGAACGTTTTCCGCGGACGCAGCATCGCGGTGCACGGTGCCTCGATGCAGACGACGAAACTCGAACATTCCGAGCGGAACGTCTCGATTCTCTGTGTCGAGATATGTGGCGACGCGGAATTCCTGAAATTCCGTAGACAGTTTTCTGATGTAATCGTTCTCGAGTGATTCTGTTACCCCGTTGCAGGGTAGATACGAAAGCTGAGGCGGTGTCGACTGATCTTTTAAAAATTCGAGTATTGTTTAGATAGAATATTAGAATAATATTTATAATAATACTTAGAGTAATAGAATTTATTAAGAATATTCCCGTTGAAATCCCTGTGAATCCTTGACGCGGCCACGGCGAGTACATCTGCCCTATACAGTAATGTCTCCCTTACCGACGCTCAGATTGTCCACTGAAATGGATCATTTGGGAAGAGGAGATACGATTATTCGAGCCTTTTGGCTTGATTTTCTAGTTATTGGCCATCGGTAACTATAAAAACGAGCCAAAAGGCTTGAACAATCGCATCTCCTCTTCCCAAATTGTCCATTTCTGTACACAGCCTGAGCGTCAGTAAGGGAGACATTGCTGTAATCGTTTCTCTCCAATTGTCCCTCGGCTTGGAAACGAAAATAACCAACTTGGGAGCAGAAGATACGATTACTCGATCCTCGCGGTCTCCGCGACTTCTCTGATAGAACGAGACGATTCGAGTTTCATCGTCGCCTTCATTTCCTGTCATTCTTAAACATTGATTAATCCTGGTTTAAACGGGCATTAGGGGTTCTAGATCGAAAATTAATTAGTTTACGAGCAATTTTCTCGCACAAGCCCTATAGGATCGAACACCGTGCTCGAAAACCAGTGCAAAAGGTGCCTTTCCCTCCTTTCGTTCTCTCTTTCTCTTTCTCTTCTGTCGCGTTTCGACCGCCCTCGCTAGCCGACACGATATCCACCAAGCTATCCATCACGCTATCCGCTCGTGTTCGCGCTTCTGATTCTGCACGAAAGCTCCCTCTGTCCTCCTTCTCTATTTCCTCTCTCGATCTCCCGCTTCTGCACCTCTCCTTCTCGAACCTTGCATCCCTGGTTCTGACCTTTTCTATTCGAGGGACGTGATTGCGGAATGCATATTTCACGAGACCAACCTCAAACCACGATCCTCTCTCTCTCTCTCTCTCTCTCTCTCTCTCTCTCTCTTCAGTTCCATCCGTCCATCCATCCGCGATAGATCCGTCTGTCCGTCGACGACGCAGCCTAACCTTGCACTTCTGCCGTAGACGAGAACGATCTCCGATCCGTTTTCCAGCGAGCCGCACAGCTTAAAGGGACCCTCGACGACCTCGAGCCTTCGATTTTTCCGCGAATATTGAAGATGGAAAATGCGGAATCTCGTTTTCAGCGAGATTGTTCGGAGATCGGGCCAGGAGCCGGTCGCTTCCACTTGTAACGGTGCTAGGGTAGATGTACCGATTGTGTCCACGTTAAGGATTTACAGGAATTTCCGTCGAAATATTCCTAAAGTCTCGTATCACAAGTTTTAATAGATTTATCACCTTGCGATAGGGTAACAAAATTATTCAAGAACTACTACGGTGGAAAGATAGTAGAATATCCATTTTTCACCGGTTGTGGCCACTTGCACGTCGGTTCTGACGCCGGTACACGAATAAATAAATAGTATTATTATTATCATTACTAGCCTAATTGCTTTTATGCAACGACCTTTTTACTGTTCCGATCTTTTCACTGCGCCAATCGCTATGCCACAGGCCTTCCGCGTGCCGATAACGCAATTCTACCATCGCCAAGACTAATTTCAAGCACCGAATCAACGATTCGATACGATTATTGAATGCCACGCGATCCTGAGAGAGTCGGCAAATCTTCTTGATCCAGCAGCGCGACCAAAAGACACTGCCTTGCGAAAGAGAAATGAAACTCCAGACGCGAAATCAACCGATATCGGCAAGAAAAATTGAAAGGAAAGATCGAAGAGAGAGAAAAAGAGACGGGAGAAAACGAAGGCGACGAGAGACGGAAGAGTCGAAGAATCGATGGAGTAACCGTTGACCTTTGCGGACGCGTTCGAAACGGTTCGCCTCGAGTGCGCCAGGAATTACATCGATCGGATAACAACCAAAGGGATGAATGGACGGATGGACGTGCAGCCGGAGAAAGAGGCTGTCCAAGGGAGAAAGGGAGAAAGGGAGGAAAAGAGAGATAGAGAAAGAGGGGAAGAGGGAAAGAGAGAAGAGAATGCGGCGCGTCGAGGCGTGTCGATGCACCGATGCAGCGGCTAACGGCCGACGACAGGTAACGGCAGCCTAACGGAGAGGCGTGCAAACGAATAAATTCGCTGGTCGGCGTCCTATGTCCTATATCCGGCCTTCGGCTGGCTCGAGACACGAGCACTCGAAGGAAACCGCGCGTCTCTGCGCAAACCCGACGGGCCGAATAACCGAGAAGAGCGTTTGAAAATCTGCTCGCAGTCTGCCGCGGCGCACCGCGATCGATAAGGGTGCGTTTACGTCGGGCCTCTGCCATAAACAGACCGAAACGCAGGAATACCTTCGCGCTTTTTCATTCACCGTCGAACCGACACTTTTCTTTTGTTCGCCGCTGCAACGATCGCTGGAACCCTGTCTGCTCTGCTCGCGATCTGCCCGCTCCGTGTCCGCGCGGTTCTCGCTTTGACCGTTGCCAGACTGGTCGCGTCGCTGACCAACCACCGATTCCATCATTGCGATCATCCAAAACCTGATTCCAGCTCTTGGCGAAAGCCTTTTGGGTCCTTCCATTTTCCTCCGAGCGAATATATTCGGTGTTCCGAAGGAGTTTCAAGCTCGGTACTTGATTCCAGAAGCTTTCCGAGATGGCCCAGCACCTTTCGAAGCTAGTTCAACACCTTTCTAAGCCAGCTCGGCACCTTTCTAAGCCGGTACATCAGCTTCGCGCGGCACTGCAACACCTTCGTCAGGTGGCACAGCAGCATCCCAAGCTAGCGTAACACCTTCCTAAGTCGATGTATCACCTTTCTGACCTAGTCCAGCAACTTCCAACGCTGCTATAACACTTTTAAGCGAGCCCAGCAGCTTCCTTAGAAACCTGATACCTTTCTATGCTCGCTAAGCTAGTGTAGCACCTTTCCGAGCTGTTCCAACACTTCTCCGAGTTAATTCAGCAGCTTCCCGAGTGCAACTTAGCACCTTTCCAAGTGACTGCTGCGACTTCCAAAGCCGGTATAATACTTTTAAGTTGGTCCAGCAGCTTCTCGAGCAGCTTGTCACCTTTCTAAGCTACCGCAGCAACCTCCTAAGCCGGTGTAGAACATTTCCGAGCTGTTCCAACACTTTTCCGAGTTGGTTCAGCAGCTTCCCGCGGCGACTTAGCACCTTTCCAAGTGACTGCCGCGGCTTCAAAAGCCAGTGTAACACTTTTCAGTCGATCCAGCAGCTTCCCGAGCGGGCTTGTCACCTTTCTAAGCTACCGCAGCAACCTCCTAAGCCGGTGTAGAACCTTTTTAAGTTGGCGGAGCAATTTCATAAGCCAGCCAAGACTCGGCGATCGAGTCGAAACGAAACGAGGACTGGATATAGGGTGTCTCGCGATGTTTCCAGGCGAGCGTTCTTCTCGACCGGCGACGAATTTCCGCCCTAGATACCTACGATCCGAGATACGATGCACGCTCGACTCTCTCGCCGACGAAACCGTCGAACCGTGGCGTTACGTAAGAACTGAGAACCTTACGCCGCGCCGGAGAAAGTATACGGAACGAAAAGGAAGCGGAACGCTCCGGGACGAGACGCGGCACGGCGCGGCGCGGCGCGACCGTGGAAAACCAGGATGAATCTGAAAAGTCCAAGGATCGGGAACTCGGATATGCATCGGCTGGCATAACGAGCGCATTGCTCCGCGCCCACGCGTCCTGTCCTCTGTCTTTTGCCTCGCGATGCGTCGCGTCGCGACGATTGCATTCCGATTATCGGCGAGACGAGACGAGCGCGATTTTCGAGAGAGTCCCCCTAACGCTGGAACCAGTCCAAAACGACCAGCTTCGGGTCTTTCGTTTCGCGGTTAGGCGACGTGCCGAACACGCTGTTGAACTTCTGCGGCCTTGGCTAGAAATCTGAGATCTTGTCGAATATCTGGCCACTTCGAAACGATTGTTACGAGTACAGTAATGTCTCTCTAATTGACGCTCGGATTGTCTACAAAATTGGCCAATTTGGAAAAGGTGATACGATTGTCAACGACTACAAAAACGAGTCGCAAGGTTCGAATAATCGTATCTCCTCTTCCCAAATTGTCCATTTTTGTGCACAATCCGAGCGTCAGTAAGGGAGACATTATTGTAGATGTGCGGATTTTATGCGTTTGCGAGAAAATCGAGTGGACGGAATACGAAACAAACAAACAAACAAATGCTGTCATATTAGTTTTGACTTGTAATAAACGTTCAGAATTAATTCGTATGAGAAGAGTTTCTTTCGTTTTGCACAACGTTACACGCGCGACGTTACTATGAGAAATTTTTCGATAAACATAATAGACATCGCGCGAAGCACGATCCAGTCTTGTCGTCGCTGTAAAACATCTATCGGCCACCCCTCGGACACTAGGATACCGGCGTCGAGCGAAGTCGCGAACGCGTTCAAAGCGGTTCCAGCAGACGAACACGAGATTTCCGAAATTCCTGGCACAACAACGGCTCGAGTGAATCGAACGCATTCCCTTCCCGGTTCTCTTTCACGAATCGCGAAGCATTGCGTCAGCGTTCGAAGTCCATCGCAACGCAATCCCGAATAGCTAAAAGTCACTCTGCCGAACGAGAATCGCCCTGCCGCCGAACGCGTTTTCTTCCGCGCGGCGCGCCGAGAGAAAATCGGCCGTCGCGGAAAAGGAAAAAATCGTGATCGATGGGGTTAAGTGACAGACAGGGCCAGTGTCGAGAAGCGGAGCCGCGGCTCTCGAAGAGCGCTCCGAAGAGAGTTGCAGGAATACAGGGCACGGCGTTCCCACATCGGTCGTTCCAGCGAACGAACAAGAGCGAGATGAAACGCGAGAGCAAGAGCAGGACCGTGCAACATCCGCGTTTCGTAATTTCGTTGCCTCCTCCCTTGCTCGGGCGCGATCGCGAAACGATCGGTGGGATCGCCGTGATCGAGACAGCACGCGGAAAAATTCGGTCCAGTGAATTTCTCCGAATTCCATCGGCCGTAGATTCGATCGTCATGCAGCCTGATTAAACGCTGTCCGCCATCGAAGTGGTGCAAAGTACGAATCGATGTGTACAGTAATGTCTCCCTTATCGACGCTCAGATTGCGCAGAAAAATGGACAATTTCGGAAGAGAAGATGCGATTAAATTGAGTCTTGCGCCTCGTTTTACAGTTACGAATGATCAACAACTATAAAAACGAGAGCTGCAAGGCTCGAATAATCGTATCTCCCCTTCCCACATTGTTCATTTTCATGCACAATCTGAGCGTCAATTAGAGAGACATTACCGTATTGCTCGATCTTGTTGCGATCGGTGCAGATAAATCGTGTTGACGAATTATGCGGACAAATTGTGCAGATAAATTATGTACGCGAATTATGCAGACGGCTCGTGCGAACAGATTGTGCGGTCTGGTTAAAAACTGCCTGCTGTCTAAGCTATGCAGTTATAAATTGTCAACAATTATAGAAACGAGCCGCAAGGCTCGGATAATCGTATCTCCTCTTCCCAAATTGTCCATTTTTCTGCACAATCTGAGCGTCGGTAAGGGAGACATTACTGTACCTAAGTCTACTTTGTTCCAGACAGATTGTGCAGGAAGATCTGCGAATAAATCGATATCTTTCTCTAATTTGTTGCAGTCGATGCGGCCAGATTATACCTTATTCTAAAAAGATCTATTATACCGCGCATGCCTCTGCTAATTCGTGCGTGTCTATCTTCTATGTATATTATGTATTTCATAGTCTATCCCAGCGAATGTGGACCAATGGTATACGCAATGGTCCCAGGTATCGTGAACAATAGCTCCTTCATTAGGAACATTCTTCGGTCGGAACTCTGACAAGCTACTCTATATTAGCAATTATTAAAAAACATTGCTAATCGTCGATCGTTACAACCGCAATACCGAATCGATTAAGCGCGTTACCAAATAAGTTACTCTTGCCACAATAACTAAACGCTCGAGAACTGCATCTCGGTGTTCACGTTCGCTGCCAAGTGCATTAAATAGGAAAGTTGCTTGGCGCTGGATCGAACCGACTTGAACCCGAGACGCCTGGCGTAGTAAATCTACCGATCGTTGAAGGTTCTCGAGATCGGATCGAAGAAACGCCCGAGAGATCGACAGGCGAGAGAAGCGGAGATATCGAGGCAGAGAGCAACGCGGAGGATCGGCCCGACAAAAGGCGGATTCCTTCTAAAATTAACCGATGCTCGGCCAAAACGTTTCCCTTGCTTCGGCGCTTCCTCTGACTGACCCAATGACCCAATCATGCGGCCGCACGCGGCTCGAAACACGCGCGATTCGCTTCGCTCGCTCGCTCGCTCGCCGTTCGCTAGGCGCTAGCACGGACGCCCACGCGTGCTCGCGCGTGCCGAAGCGACGCGACGCGCGCCCACGCGACATCGTCCCTTACCTTAACTGATCCACAAGGCTCTGCTCGTAGGATCCATCGCGGCCTCGAAAGCTTTCCTCTGCAATCAGAACGAAATCCCACGGATTAACCCTCGAGGGCATAACTCTCTTTCGAAGAGATCGGTCCGAGGCCTATCGGCACGCGCTCGTTATTAGTCGTCTCGATTCGGCAACTAGAACTAAGCTAATTCTTAGAGCTAAGAACTAAGCTGATTCAACTTAATAATCGACTCGTTGCACGAGGATTAAATGGACGCGATCTTCTCGCGAGATTGAAACAAAGATATCTTTACGAGATAATTAGTCTTTCTAACTACAGTAATGTCTCCCTTCCTGACGCTCGGATTGTCCACTGAAATGGATAATTTGGGAAGGAGGAGATACGATTATTCGAGCCCCGTTTTTATAATTGTGGACAACTTATAACTATAAAAATAAACCGCAAGGCTCGAATAATCGTATCTCCTTTTCCCAAATTGTCCGTTTCTCTGGTCAATCTGGGCGTCAATTAGAGAGACATTACTGTATTCTTTAAACGACCCGTTTCATAACTTCTATTTCATTATTATTGTAGTCCTAAAGCTTGGATAATTTGAGAAGAGGGGATACGATTGTTCGAGCCTTGCAGCTCGTTTTTATAATCGTTGACAATTCGCGGCTATAAAAGCAAACCGCAAAGCTCGAATAACTGCATCTCCTCTTCCCAAATTGTCCATTTCTGTGGACAATCCGAGCATCAATGTCAACAGAGAGACATTACTGTATATTTATTTATCGAGGCGCACACTAGCGCCTAATTAATAGGCTTCTCAACGAATGAACCGTGTCCAAGGGGAACTTCCTATTTTTGTTCAAGATAATAATTGCAAAAGAACTTGCTACATCGTATCGGTCTAGATAATTTCACGACCGTGTACGATGTGATTATAATAATTCTACAATGATCGCACAATTAGTTTTAATTACAATAAATAACTTGGTTCGCGTTACACGTGTAATCGTTATAAATCAGTTACAACAACTAACGGGTTACAATGATGAACCATCGATCGGATTACTATTCGCCCACCTCCGGACTAGCCTAATCGGCAAACCGTGCGGAAGAGAAGCGTACCCTCTTGGATCTCGGCTGAAACGGCTCGCCGAGGGACAGCAAAAGCGAAGCATCCGAGATCGAAACGAGCGCAATTTAGAGGACAGTGTCTCCAAGGAGAAAGTTGCTGGCATCGCGGAGACAAAAGAGAGAAAACCCGGTTTTTCCGGAGCGTATCGCGCCGTGCGAGCTTCGGGACAGAGACCGCGCGGCGGCTCGTTGCGAGATTGCAAAGGGTTTCGAGAGGATCGTGCCGAGCCGAACCGAGAGACCGATCCGTTGGAAAGAGCCGGTCGCCGGTCGCTAAACACGAGGGGGATGCTCGAAAGAACGAGCGACTGCACTCGATACACCCGAGAATAGCTCGCCCGCAGAGTGAAACGGGTCACGTTCAATGCCGACGCGATATTTTTCAGCGCGGCTTTCGTTCCGTTCTGGAACGCCACGGATATTATTCGAACTGGCCGCGTATTATTAGCCGTGTTCCGGTTCCCGTGGCGGGAAAACCGATTTCGGAAGAGCGGAGCAATCGCCGGGCCGGCCGGCCGGCCCGCCGACGGACGGACGAACGGACGGCGACTCTCCACGGAAATAAACGCGGTTTTTTTCCAATCTGGAATACCCTCGATCGGAGCTTTTATTAGCCGGAAATCGGAGCGCACTCGGGACGCCTCGATATCCGAACTCGGTTCCGAGAATAAAAGAATAAAATCCGCCGTGGATTCACCGGCGCCGCGAGGAGTGCTCCTCCCATTTTTCCGAGTAATCTGTCCGCGTAATTGAACGGCCGGCCGCCGAGGTAAACGAGCGGACGATTCGCGGCTGGACCGAAAACGAAGGTGGCTTTCGCCGAGCCTGGAAACGCGAGGCTCTGCTATCGCAACGATATCGCCCCCGTCGCGTTTTAAGTATGTACGGTATCGCGTCCTGTGTCGTATCGTAAAACACTCCGGCCACCGGAAGCCTGTGAACGACCGTTGACGATCGAAATAATCACGATCTCTGGGAATCGCGCAAGCCCGGCAGAGATTATCGGATTACATCGCTCGAGATTACCCGCCTGGAAATTGCCATCTCGAACAAACAAGAGAAATCCCGTGTCCTTCCGTTCGAATGAAAAGAGCGCGGAGCAGCTCGCCGTTGGTTAAAGTGTTAATTATTACAAGCTACGAGCGCCGCCTACGACTTCGCTTTGGTGCATCGTTAAAGTACCACCCTATAGCTATGCACTTTTATTTACAGTGCGAGCGTTCGTTTGTCCACGTGTTGTTCTTAATCCTCGAGCGGGACCGTCACGATCCTCGACGCCCTTGTTCTAAGCGACGATCGTTTAAAACTAAAATATCCGGAACATTTCTTATTTCGCAACCGGCCGCGTTTTAAAGCGACGGGGAGAGGACCGAGGCTCGCGCTCGATTCACGGCACGTATTATACTAGAAACGTCCGCGCTGTCCGCACGAATAAACTGAGCCAATAAGAACGAGCCACTTTTAGCGCTCGGCAGCTCCAGTGTCGAATACATTATTCGAGTTGTTGGAACGGCGAGGCCCGTACTGAAAGCCCACTTAAGGATTAAAATTTGATGATATTCAGCCGAGTAGTTTCGCTGTCACAAGGCTCTTTCCGCTTTTAAAGCAAAATGCACCGCTGCGAGGCGTGAGCCAGCCGCGTGCTGTCTCTCCTCTCCTCTCCGCGCCGCTCACGCTCGCTCTCTTTCTCTCTCTCTCTCTCTCTCTCTTTTTCCGTTTGCCGTTAGCATCGTAAAGAGAGCGAGAGCAGCGTAAAACGGCGGACTTTGCGAGGTTCGTTGGCGTCGCCCCGACGACTTTGCTTGGCACAGCGATCGATCGGGAAAACGCGGAAACCGGAAGCGAATTCTAAGGGAAGAGACCGTTCGAACCAACGAGAAAATTCCGAGGAAAAGATGTCGGCTGCATCTCGAGGCATCGGACCGAGAATCGAGCGCAAGGCTCGTACGCGAGTCGTGAATCGCGCGACCTTACCGGACGCGACGCGACACGAGCCGACGCTGTGCGACGCCGTGCGACGCGACGCTAGGCAACGCTATCGCGCGCAATACCGATCCGTTTCGCGATCGCTCGCGGACCCGCGGCCCCGATTCCGCGGTCCGGTCGCGACAGCCATTTCGCGACGGAAAAGCCTGGCTCGGAAATCGGGACGGTGGCCTGGCCTACGCACTGCGTGCTTTCGCATCGCATCGCATCGAATCGAATCGAACCGAGGCCGAATCGCGGCGACGCGTTCCCAGCATCGATCGGCCCGAACGAACTCGGATTTCCAACGAGTTTTCACGATCGCGGAATAGACCGAGCCGCCGGGAACCGGAGGTGAGACAGCCGAGGATCAGAGAGTTACGAGACAACGTACCTTTTCAATGCGAAACTCGTGCTCCCGCAGCCCTCGAGGCACGATGAGATAATCCAATATGGCAGAACACACACATGTCAAAACAAATCACTGAACGAACCGACGCGACGCGACGCCACCACGTAACTCCGCACTGACACGCGTCCGCGCCCGTTCCCCTCGGGACGTAGGATCGAGAGCTGTCAAGGCTGACGGATCGCGTCGATCCCTCGATCCAAACTTTGTGCTTTACTGCTGCTGATTTTCGCGAAAGCCCAAGGTCGCGCTACGCGATTCCCACTCGACAACGATGCTCGCGCGACGATGCCTCGTCGGTAACTGACGCGCCGCGCGCCACTCTTCCGATACTCGCCGCGCCGGGAACAGCCGAGCCGGCCCGACGACTTCCGATCGCGGCGCTGCGACCGCCGCCGCTGGCCCCTGCCGCACGCACGCTCGCACAGCCGGTTGCCGTTCAAAAGGCGCTTTGTCCGCGACTTTGCTTCCAAACGCGCCGAAAAATCGTCCAACCTCGACAATTTAAATGCTTCCCGTAGGCTTTGCGAACCGTTCTCGCCATAACATCGCCGCTAACTTCCCTGTCGCGGTTCAACACTCGCTCGAACGATCCACGGAAGCGTTTATCCTGTTCTCTGTTTGTTCCGTGCGTCGAAGTTCCAACGAATTTTGTTGCTAAATGCACGATCGAACGTCCCTCGATTCGAGGAGCCTCCTGATGGACTAGTCCATCGGGTCACCTGAAATCTTCCGCCACGAACGTCATTATTGTTTCTAAAGATCCGTCGAACGTTTCGAGAAAAAGATCGCCGTAAACGCCATAAAAATATTTATCGAATAAACACGAGCTTACCCCGAAACGATGCGAGTTCGATAGATTCCGAGCTCGGCAGAATCGCCGGAGGATCGGAGCGACCGTGAGATAAAATGACAGGGTACATATTTGGAGCAGGAGCGAGGGTACACGACCGGCTGCGAGCATGTTCGACCGTCTGCGACCCACGTCTGTCGTCCGTCCTCGACTCCTTTGGCTCTCGAGCCGTGTCCTCGAGGACTCGTACGTGACTCTAATTACGATGCGTCGACAGAATCTACCCTGCCCGAATCTCGGCTGTTCCTGAGAGGGAACGTGTCCCGATCGCGGCACCCGATTCGAGAAGAAATCGCCGCGGCCAAGAGAGCGACGAAAGCAGAAAGAGGAAGAGATAGATAGATAGAGAGAGAGAGAGAGAGAGAGAGAGAGAGAAAGAAGGAGAGACATCGACGACGTCGCATCCTGGCCGCAAGAGTTTCTTATCCACGGATCTTTGCGCTCACGCGGTCTCGCAATATTCGTACGGCACGCGACTTTGGCTCCGCATAAAAGAGTATTGTCTCCCGTTTCGACTTTATACACTCGACTCGTCGTTGCATGGTTTACTACCGGGTGGAAAGAGTAATACACCAGTCAGCCAGCCAGTCAGCCGAGCCAGCCAGCCAGCCATCCAGCCAGCCACCCAGCCAGCCAACCAGCCAACCAACCAGTCGTTCGTTATCGAGTGTTTGCACGTATTTACAGGGGAGAAAAAGGATACAAAAGGCACAGAGAGACGGCGGAGCGGCGAACGCGCCGCGAGAAGAGGAGCAACGGGAGCGTCGATCGAGTTTCCGAACAACTCGCGGCCGATTCGCGGATATATTCAGCAGGCATCGCGGTATCTTTTCATTGCATAATACGCGGCGGCCGGACNCCCTCGGGACGTAGGATCGAGAGCTGTCAAGGCTGACGGATCGCGTCGATCCCTCGATCCAAACTTTGTGCTTTACTGCTGCTGATTTTCGCGAAAGCCCAAGGTCGCGCTACGCGATTCCCACTCGACAACGATGCTCGCGCGACGATGCCTCGTCGGTAACTGACGCGCCGCGCGCCACTCTTCCGATACTCGCCGCGCCGGGAACAGCCGAGCCGGCCCGACGACTTCCGATCGCGGCGCTGCGACCGCCGCCGCTGGCCCCTGCCGCACGCACGCTCGCACAGCCGGTTGCCGTTCAAAAGGCGCTTTGTCCGCGACTTTGCTTCCAAACGCGCCGAAAAATCGTCCAACCTCGACAATTTAAATGCTTCCCGTAGGCTTTGCGAACCGTTCTCGCCATAACATCGCCGCTAACTTCCCTGTCGCGGTTCAACACTCGCTCGAACGATCCACGGAAGCGTTTATCCTGTTCTCTGTTTGTTCCGTGCGTCGAAGTTCCAACGAATTTTGTTGCTAAATGCACGATCGAACGTCCCTCGATTCGAGGAGCCTCCTGATGGACTAGTCCATCGGGTCACCTGAAATCTTCCGCCACGAACGTCATTATTGTTTCTAAAGATCCGTCGAACGTTTCGAGAAAAAGATCGCCGTAAACGCCATAAAAATATTTATCGAATAAACACGAGCTTACCCCGAAACGATGCGAGTTCGATAGATTCCGAGCTCGGCAGAATCGCCGGAGGATCGGAGCGACCGTGAGATAAAATGACAGGGTACATATTTGGAGCAGGAGCGAGGGTACACGACCGGCTGCGAGCATGTTCGACCGTCTGCGACCCACGTCTGTCGTCCGTCCTCGACTCCTTTGGCTCTCGAGCCGTGTCCTCGAGGACTCGTACGTGACTCTAATTACGATGCGTCGACAGAATCTACCCTGCCCGAATCTCGGCTGTTCCTGAGAGGGAACGTGTCCCGATCGCGGCACCCGATTCGAGAAGAAATCGCCGCGGCCAAGAGAGCGACGAAAGCAGAAAGAGGAAGAGATAGATAGATAGAGAGAGAGAGAGAGAGAGAGAGAGAGAGAAAGAAGGAGAGACATCGACGACGTCGCATCCTGGCCGCAAGAGTTTCTTATCCACGGATCTTTGCGCTCACGCGGTCTCGCAATATTCGTACGGCACGCGACTTTGGCTCCGCATAAAAGAGTATTGTCTCCCGTTTCGACTTTATACACTCGACTCGTCGTTGCATGGTTTACTACCGGGTGGAAAGAGTAATACACCAGTCAGCCAGCCAGTCAGCCGAGCCAGCCAGCCAGCCATCCAGCCAGCCACCCAGCCAGCCAACCAGCCAACCAACCAGTCGTTCGTTATCGAGTGTTTGCACGTATTTACAGGGGAGAAAAAGGATACAAAAGGCACAGAGAGACGGCGGAGCGGCGAACGCGCCGCGAGAAGAGGAGCAACGGGAGCGTCGATCGAGTTTCCGAACAACTCGCGGCCGATTCGCGGATATATTCAGCAGGCATCGCGGTATCTTTTCATTGCATAATACGCGGCGGCCGGACGGGCGGCCTGGTCGGCGAAGAATCGGGAAGAAAAGCTCAAGGAAACGAAGGAAAAAAGCCGTGCGACGGGAGACAAACGACGAGCCGAATCGATGGGGGCGCAAGCGCGAGCGTCCGCGCACCTAATAGCGACAACGGTCGAACACACGGCAAGGATGCATATTTTTCGAACCGTCGCGTCGCGCAGCGAGGGTCGGAGCACCGAAAATCTGGCATAAATTATGCGGCTCCGTTCTTTCGGCGAATCGAAGTATACCGATGCGAAACGATAATGAGACGGACGAAAATAATCGAATTCGTTCTTATTAAATATAAATAATCGAGCCTTCGAGCTTCGACCTTGAACTCGAACGGCATCGAACTTGTCCGTCGTCATTGTTTGCTGATTCTACAAGAACAGATTCTTCGCTCTACCGATGAATTCTTGAATTTTCATATTTCGCGTTTCTGCCAGGTTTTCGGGACCCCGAAGCCCGCTGTGTGCGTCGAGCCGAGCCGATCCCCTGGTCCGATAAACCGATTTCCCCCGCGCTAAATATCCCCCTCGGACGATTACCCTGGCCAAACCGACCGGCAGACGTCCCGCGATCGATCGTCTACTCTTCGGTTTCCAAGTTTCGGAGCGGACAGTTTTATTCGGAGAAGAAGACGTTTCTTCTGCGACGACGTTCCCTCTTTCTCCCTCTCTCTCTCGCTCTCTCTCTTCTCTGCGAGGCTCTCTCTTGGCTCACAATACGACTACGTCACACCCTACTAGCGGACTCGCCGCTCATGCTTCACCCTTCATGGTTTCGCGACTCTTGAGCCCCTTCTGCACGACCTCTTGTTACACGGTTACCCTGCCCCCTTCTCTGTTTAAGGCTTCGTTTAGGATGGGGTTACCGGTCGTTACGGCTAGTTTCGAGGGTACTTTTTTCCACGCGCGTCGCACAACGCCGGAACACGGACCCCGCCACGCAAAAGTAGACGCATCAAAAGAAGTAACCCTCTCTCGGTCGCGCCCGTTGCCTCGTCTCCCGAGGAACCTCGCCGCGATCGTTACTCCGTCGCTCGATCCGATTCCTAATTACGGCGGTCCCATCGTCGCACGGACGAAAAAGCTGGCCCGGTCTACCGAGGGAAATCCAATCGCTCGGAACGGCTATCGCTCGCAAAACTTCCCAGTCCAGACCCGACGCTCGGTGACGCACTGCGACAGTTCGCAGCTGCAGCCCGTTGTCTCGCCTAAACTAGAGCCAGTATCCTTCGCTCGGTTGTATGTACCACATAGAACAGTAGGAGACAGAGTTAAGATATACCTCGGGTATCTCGTGAACAGTCTGGAGATTTTATGGCAGAACTAGATCAATTTTCAAGCAACGAAACGATTCGAAGTTACTCAGATATTTGACTAGTTTCGAATTCAGTTTTGTTTTAACGCCGAACCTAACGAGCTGGTATAAAATGGCCCGCTTCGTTATACTTGGTTTTCAAATTGCCGAAATTCTAAGGACTCTCTCGTAAGGAGAACGATCGAAGAAATTATTCAATCGAAGTAGACGTTTCAATAAAAGTAGCGATTAAATGAACACGGTTTTCGCTTTGTTATAGAAAAAATACAGGCTACGTTTAGGGCTCCGCAGGTTTAGCGTTAATATACTCGAGCTATGATACATTTTAGTTGATAACCTTGACCGAATAAAATACTTGAATTCAACACAAATTTTCCGAGGTTCTGGCGTGGCGATGGAAGCGTCGACTTACTTAGATTTCGTGAGGATTTTTAGAGCTGATTTTCGGGAAGAAATCAAATCATACTCGGTGCTTCTGTATCTCGCGATCGTTGCGGACAATGTTCCCTTCGCAGAAAGAGCCGCGGCCCGAGACACGGCTCAATCCGAAACGGGATGGATGGCAAATGCGGCGACGAATCCCCGTTTCGTCCGACCGCCTCGCAATTCGCAGGACCGATATCCCTCGCGCAAGATGGTGGGTCGAGAGGGTGCGAGGAGAGAGAGAGAGAGAGAAAGAGAGAGCTGTAACAGAGGAAGGAAGGGGTTGAGCGAGAAGGTGTCGGTGATCGTCAGGCACGCGGGGTAGAAATAGGTGCCGGTCGCTCGGACGGCGCTAGGTGTGCAGCGATGCGATGCGAAGCGAAGGATCAATGAGCAGGTTCAATAACCTGAAATCCACTTGACGTCCGAGTATGGGCACACCGGTACGAGCGACTGCGTCGTTTCAACAACCAAAATAGATATTCATTTTCCAAGAGTGCTATTTTCCCAGCCAGACACAAATCCAATACCGGTGATTTAAGTGGCCGCTCGCGCGGCGCGGCGCGGCGCGTAGTTCGGGTCAAAGACCCACGGGCCGCCCTCGCGGGGCTTCTCCTCGCGAATTCCGGCAACGGACGGTGTCTCCGCGGTAATTAGCGGCGGAAACGGCGGCATCGCGGCCCGCTTCGAGCCCGCGGGGCGGCCGCCGAGAGGCAACACGGAACGGAAGAACGGAACGGCCGGCGAACTTTCCGGCGAATGATCGACGGAAACTTCACTGCGTTGGTTGCGATACGATCGAAGGATAACCTAGACAAGCAGAAGAGAGATAGATAAATAGAGAGAGATAGCTAGAGACAGAGAGAGAGAAAGAATTATGAGTCGCCCGGAGAGGAATCACGGATGAATTTGTTCGAAGACATGCCGAGAGAAGACCCGCTGGTCGAGGAGGACGTGACCTGCTGCTATCGGATGACCTTCCTCCCTGCACGGCTCCGAAACATCCGGGTGACCGAGCCAGTGTTTCCGCGGCTCTCGAAAATCTTCACCTGGCAGAGCATCTTTTGGCTGGGCAACATCGCGATCAGTTTCGCGCTAGGCTGGGCTGTCCTCTACTGTCTTCTCGGCAACACGATGTTCCCTTACGGAGACGGGTTCGGTCTGTACACTATCGCGATCCTCTCGTACTCCCTCGGATGGAGCTTGTCCTATCTGCCCTACCTACATCTGCCTCCGGTCTTCGGGATGCTGCTCGCCGGCCTGATCATCCGCAACTCCGGCCTCTACAACATCCACGAGGACCTCGGCACGATCGCCACCTCCAAGATCCGCACGTTCTGCCTGACATTCATCATGATCCGCTGCGGGCTGCAGGTCTCGATGACCAGTCTGAAGAGGTACACCGTGTTCATGGTGCTCCTGGCTGTCATTCCCTGCACCGTCGAGCTCGTCATCCTTGGCATCTGCTGCAGGACCATCTTGGGCTACCCCTGGGATTGGTCGTTCATGGTCGGGTGAGTTGGCTAGCGCGCAGGCTGCGTGCCGGGGATTATTCGAGCAAGTTTCATAATGGAAACGTTAAAAAATCTAAATAAATTCCTCGCTTTTACGAAGCAACGCGCGCCAAGTACGCTTGTGATTAACAGTTCCGAAATTTACCCCGTCTAATTTTTAATACACGGCTACCCGTGTATTCGTATACGCGAACCACTTCTTCTTTCATATCGCGAGCTCCCGTCGCAGGGCCATACTCGCTTGCATGTCGCCGGTAGTTACCCTGAACTGCGTGCTCACCCTCGCCGAGAAGGGCTACGGCGAGGACAAGGGCCTCGCCAGCGTCCTATCCACCGCCGCCTGCCTCGACGACGTCCACATCATCTCCGTGTTCGTCCTCTGCTTCTCCATCGTCTTCGGAAACGGTACGGACCGGAGCCGACCCTTAAACAGAGCTTCCTTCCTTCAACGCGAAACTAGAAAGCTGATATTTATCACAGTATTATCGCGTTCCAAACGACATGTTCGCAGGTGAGACGCAAAGGGAGTGGTACGTCTACATACCCGTTGGTCTGCGAGATTTTGTGCTGAGCGTCCTCGCAGGATTCGTCTTGGGCGTCTGCTGTGTCTTTTTCCCTCATCGCAGCCACGTAAGGACACCTTTCTTCGCTTATTGTCTCTAGCTCGTCCAACGGCTCTCACGACGACCCGTTTTCCATCGAAATCAGAGGTACGCGACCTGGAACCGCATGATCGGTCTGGTCCTCGGATCGCTGCTGTGCACCACCGCCACGGCGAACCTGGCAGTGTCCGGGGGAGGATTCCTGGCGGTCGTCGTTCTGGCGTTCACCGCCATCACCGGATGGCGGATGCTCTCCACGTCCTTCCAGGCACGTGTCCGATCTAGGGATGAGATCGAGTTTAATAGAATAATACAAATATATAATAATATATAATAATATATAATATATATAGTATATAAAAAAATAACATAAATATAATAATACAATTTAGGAAGAGGATCTACGATTTTTCGAGCCTTGCGGCTCGTTTCTATAGTTTTTGACAATCGGTAATTATAAAAACGAGTCGCAAGGCTCGAAAAATCATATCTCCTCTTCTCAAATTGGGGGTGAAAGTACCTCCAGAGGGTTCGAATCTCGCGGAGGTTCGAGCATACTTGCGACATACTTGATCCCATCACTAGTCCGGTATCTCTCTTCTCCGATCGCTGAATTCTGAATCGCGTCTGTCTCCGGTTGTTTTTTTTACCGATCCGACGTATGCTCGCAGTCGGAGCCGTTCCGACAGATCGCGCAGATCTTCTGGCACGTGGCCCAGCCGATGTGCGTCGGCGTGATCGGCGCCGACATCGACCTGCGGACCTGGACCGTCGACAGATTCTGGCTTCACACGCTGTGCATAATGACAGGACTGATAGTACGTTCCTCCGATCTTTCCGCGCGGACGGCTCTTATTCTCCATGTGAAACAGGCAAGAAGCATCGCCACTTACGCGGTGGCGACCTTGGAGAAATCGTTAAACTGGAGGGAACGGCTGTTCGTCGTCATGTGTTGGCTGCCCAAAGGCACCTTGCAGGTAATTCATTTCATCGAGGCATAAATAACTTCCGGTTCTTCGTCTGACATTTATTTTGTCTTTTTTTTATTCATATTTTTGTTTATTTATTTTCATCCCTTATCTATTTAGCGAAAGCTAGAACTCGTTTGATTCTATCTAACTGCATCGCAGGGGGATGCTCTCTTAATTAAAAATTTTTGAAGAATTCAGAGCGACGTGTCCAATCCGACAAAACATCGACGAATTTTTTCGTAATTTTCCGTTTCGCAGGACAGAGGAATTAGAGCTTGATCTGCCAAAATAAATAAATAAAATAGAAATCAATTTGGTTCGGGGGGCACATTTGACCGTCTTATCCGGCTGTACCCTTTCAGTCTGACATGAACAATTTTAAGGCGGCTCTGGGACCCATGGCGTACGAACGCTTGCGGGAGAAGCCGGATCACGAAGACGTCCAAATGGCCCTGGAGGTGATGAGGATATCCGTGATTACCGTTCTGTTCTTAGCACCTGTCGGTACTATTGCCATCATGGCCACCGGGCCGCTTCTGCTCAACCAAACGGCGGTGGAAGAAGACGAATTGGATTATTTAAGGAGAATCAGCCTGACCCACCCTCATTCGGCCGATGAAAAGAAAGGGAGGTTTCAACTCACCGGCGGCCGCAATTAAATTCATTTATTCGAGAGACAAAGTCTTAAATAGTGTCCGTCTAACAGTTGTATCGTTAATAAGAAACGTTTAGTCAAGTTGTTTTGGATTACCTGCCAAACGTATTCTTGGAAAGACCCGGTGGCGCCATCCACGGCGAAAAGCCGAAACTCTTTGCCGAATTACAGTACGATCCGTGACCGATGGATGGCGCGGAATTATGTTTGCATGCGTGACCGTTTCGTTGTGGTTGCTGCCCCATGTGTTTTCTATTTAGTATTTACATTCTTGCAGCCGTGGGACAAGTTTAACAAGACACAGAATTGTACGGAGCACGTGCCTTTACGTACTATGAGACCGATACTTGGCTCGCGACATTAATTGGATCAATTCGGCGACTGATTTCCTTCGTCGTCGATACGCCTCGTTTGTGGTTTTCGTATAGAGAACGTTAGGTTGTAAGTTCGATTCTCTGTTCCATCAAAAAAACGATCGACGTAAGCAATAATTAATTGTACACGCGTCCTAGGGTACAAAAGGCAAGACATGAACGTGCACAAGATGATGACGATAATCGCGAAAGATTCCGACTACAGGGACAACGAAGCTAGGGGAACCATCAGACTTATAGATCGTCCGACGTTCATCCTGAAAACCAGGGAAAGCGAAAGCAGGGCCGTTTCCCCGAGTCAACGTAGCAGTGCCAACAAGTCAGTCAGACGATCAGAAAAGAACATTTTCAACTGTTCTGAACAACCCAACAGTTAATCCTTTGATTTGCAGGAAAGAGACAGAATCGTCGTCCCAGGCGTCTTCGAAAATGCCTGAACGTACGTCTTTTTCCTCTCATTTTTCATGCTTCATTTACCAGCGCTCGATTATGAACCACTTTTGACTTTTTTGACACGCGCAGAGTAATCTTTCTTAATGCAATTGCTTCGCAGTGTGTCGTACTATACTGACACCGTGCGTGGAAATGACAACCAGCATCAAATTCATGGATGAAAACATGCAGCTCTGCGAAACTCCTTTAGAATACCTGTACGACCAGCAAGACTTCTTGGTGGTAGGGTGTCTCGGAGGTCAGGGTGTTGGAAAGTCGACTATAATGTCTCTCTTGACGTCGAGTTACGCGTCGGTATTATGTTTCGTTGGAACGACCCGCGTTTTACCGTTAGTAAATGTACTATTGTAATTTTCATATTGATCTTTCAGGCCGAACGTGTTTCCGGTGCAAGACATGTCTCACCACGAAAGCGGCGCGAACTGTACCACCGGTATCGACTTTTTTGTAACAAAGAACCGGGTAATATATCTGGACACTCAACCGATACTTTCTGGATCGACGATAGACTATTCGACCTCCTACGATCAGAAGAAACCTACCTCCGATTTTGCAAATATCGAGACCAACTTGGAGCTGCAGTCTTTGCAGTTCGCTGCCTTCTTGTTCTCAGTTTGTCACGTTATTATCTTTGTGCAAGACTGGATCGTCGATCCGAATTTAGTTAGGCAAGCGTTAGCGTCCTTTCCGAAGCTCCTAAAACTTGGTTCAATCGTCAATGCGTTCGTTATTCTTTCAAATGCAGGTTTTTACAAACGGCAGAAATGTTAAAGCCGTCGTCGACGAGTAACATGGACCAAGACTACGTCGAGTATTATCCGCATATCCTGTTCTTGCACAACAAGGCCGAGTTACAAGACTTCACGCCAAGTATCACGGAAAAAGTTAAGGTAGAGAACATCATTTTCGTTTTCCCAGACTCTGGCATGTATTTGTAATTACAGGATATTCATTGTAGGATTTCTACAGCAAAGTATTCTCCACGTCGAGATTACAAACCCACAGCGGTTTGGACATGAGTCCTCAATCGATAGATGCTAGTTTAAATCTATTTTTTATACCAGAAATTACAAACGAAGGTATATCGCAATGTCTGCGTTGACTCGCATTGGTTTCTATCAAAAATCAAACACTATTTCTGTTGTTTAGAGACTCCGATGCGACAGAATGAAAAGAAGTTGATCGAACGATTGAAAACAAAGATACACGGTGTCAGTAAGAACCCGATGACGCCGACTACTCTAACCGAGAAAAATTGGCAAGTATAATGGAACACGGTCTTCCGAAATTATTCACAGCACGAGCTTTTAGTTTTTGAAATTGAAATAATTTTCTCACCGCCGAATGATTTAGGTACCACTACGTCTCAAGAGTGATGGAAGCGATTAAGAAGAGCCATCTCTCATCCGAGTACGGGAGACTGATGCCCTAAGCCGCCGCAGTTCATAGCTGAAGTATTCAACAGCGGCACTCGTCCCTGACTGTGTGCACTTCGAATGATCTCCAGGTGCGAACACATAGTGAAATGCGAAAGCGGTACAAGTATCCGGGTTCAGAATCGCTCGACCAAAGTGGATACAATAGAGAGCAAGCAGCTAAAAGATGGATCGATGGGAAAACAATGGTTTTTCCTTTGTTAAAAATAATATATAGTACATGTCTAAATAACGTGTACACGTTTCAATAAATCAATAGAATAAAATAAAAGTAATTCATCGCGTCGTTTAGGATCTAACGACAAAAGTCTACCTAACATGGACAATTTAGGAATAATCTTCTTGCTCGCTGTCCACCTGTTGCATCGAGGCCATCTGCGCGACCGCTTGCAGTTGCTGCCACTGCTGTTGCTCGGCGACCGCTTGTTCTTCTCGCGCTTTGGCGAACAATTCCTGTTGTTGTCTAAGCAACTCTTCTTCAGGAATACCTAAATTCTCCAGTCTCGTGCTCTGGCGTCTTCGTTTCGCCGCGACAGCCTTGCAATCCCGTAAAACCGCCTCCGCTTCCGCGCTGTAATCGCCGAAGCCAAGTTTCTCCAGCGCTAAGAGTACATGTTCCGCGTTTATGGTCTTCTTTTGCTGTTGGTTGCAGATCTCGTTCGCCTCGGACGAGAGCAGATGAATGAACTCCGTGCAACAGTTCAGAATTAGCTCGCGCGACTCGTTGGCCACTCGTACGTGCGGCAGAATTTCCTTTATCATTTTGTTGATCGATGCCCGAGGCAACGTCAACTCGTCATCTTCGGTCGGGGATATCGTAGCCGAGGCCATGTCCTGTAATTCAACAAAGACCACTTATAATTCTTAATACTTTAAATATAAAAAGTCTCGCTCGTCTATACTATTCACCACGCGTACAGACGTACGCACAATTAACTGTTTGTACCTTGAAAGTATCGGCAGCTTATCTCGTTATCATGTACTCGAGCCGATCTAGCGTGCTTTCGTAGCAAGATTATAAGATAAATCGCGGATCGAAGCAGTGGGAGCGCGTCGTCCCGAGTATTTCGTCGATCGAATGCGTAGATCTTAATATGAAAATGAAATGTTCGCGAGAATCGCCGCGTTGTGTTGTTATTGTATGCTGATTGTTACGTTGGGTATGCGCGGTGAACACCGTGTCGCGGACGCGATCGAATTTTTTGGCGCTGTTCAGAATTTGAGCGTGATTGTTTTACGCGACGAGAAACACTTAGCGATCGACAATGCGTACAGATCCCTGCAACTAAACGTCTCTTGGCTGGCACCGAACAGTACGAGACGACCATCGTCTTATAGGTAATGTCTGTGTTCGAATAAACAAAAGAAACGTGCGAGAAGCGTGTACGAATTTATGTTGCATTTGTCCCTTTGCGTTCTTTGTAGCGTTACGATTACGGACGCTCAAACGGAGGATAAAGGGTCGGATACTTCAAAATGTCCGAGGGGCTCGACATATCATCCGATATATAACGATAAACAATACGCTGTGCTGCCAGTAAACAACATGTCTTCGATCGATGTGCCCGATCTGTACATCCGACCCAATTGCACCTATAAAGTACAAGTAATCGCGAATCCGAGGTCCAGGGATAAACCGGCCGAAGTAAGTAGCTACAGTCATCGAGAGAGCACGTTGTAGTCTTCGGCAACATCCAGATTCAACGTACTTAAAAACTGTTCAGGTACTCTACACCGTTCCAGAATGCATCGACCGGAAGTGCAGCTGCATGAACGCAACTTCAACGTTGCCTGTGCCAAAATTGAACGTTACTCAACGAGAAAACGAGGTGACTCTGGATTGGAGCACCGCCTCCGATACTTCAAAAGTCCATTATTATGTAATTAGGTAATTAATCGGTGCTCTGTGTTATGTATGAACGGAAACCAATTACGGTTAACTGCTGCAGCGTCGGTGTGCCGCTGCTGACTTCGAAGAAAGGTATACCGATTTACAATGTAATGGAAGTTGGACGTGTAACTGCGGGGAGGAGCAGCTTCTCGTGGAACACAAGATCCAATGATCAACGCACAGAGCTTAGAGACAGTTACATGTTGATGGTCCACGCCTTGGACGACCGCGGTTGTTCTGGAGCAAATGGAACGTTACTGATGAGCTCCGAATTCGCTAATAACGTGGTAAGACAACGAGATATGTTCGTCGAACGTTTCACAAACAATAGAGTCACAAAAACGACATCTTCACGTTTTAGAAATGGTTGATATTCGTTGCGGTAATAGGAGCTTGTTGCGTACTGTTCGCTGTTTTCAGCTACTTCGTGCTGGCCCACAATATATATTGCGCAACATATTACAGCAAGAAAGCTCGGTAAAAACAATGTAGGAATATATTATGTACGACAAGCTGGGCGATCGATGATAACCAGTCCGATTGCTTGTAGGATACACACCATCTCTAAGTGCAAGACTCAGTGGGCTGAGACGGTTCTTCGGAAGAGAAACATTTTATACTTCCGACCGGAGTCCGAGGTAAGGGTCGAAGCAAGAAAAGTAATTAACATAATTAAAGATCGGGGCCTATCGTAGAACGAGCAGAAAGGAGAAACGGACGCATTGGATGCACCCTTTAAAAGTGTTATGCTGATACGCGAGTTGGGCAATGGACACTTTAGCAAGGTGTATCTTGGCCGTCTGGACGACGCCACCGATACTCTGGTTGCCGTGAAAATGTCTCAGAGCGATCACGCCTCCGTCGAGTCGGAAGCGCGTCGACAATTCCTAGAGGAAATTGAGATAATGAAGAAGGCAGGGACCCATCCGCATTTGGTAAGCCTCATTGGCTACTGCGTTCGACCGGACAAACCGATATGCATTCTTCTCGAGTACATGCAAGGCGGGGATCTGCTGTCTTATTTGCATTTGCAACGAAAGTGTCGTGCCAAGAAACACGCTCACGAAAATGGGGACACGTTTGAAAATTTATCCGAAACAAGCATTTCCAAGAGTAAGTGCTTAGCTGCGGGATTCATAGTTTCGAATATATACTTTGATTTCAGTCGTTCGCGTTCATTTTCAGCAGTCTACGCGAACTTGAGCTCTGCGGTGTTTAATAAAACTTATATGAATACTTTCGATGCTCGCTGGAAGAAGGAGGACTGTTCGTGTGAAACAGACAAGCTCCAATTCTTGAAGTTTGCTAGAGAAATTGCCATGGGTATGGAATATTTGGAAAGCAAACAAATTGTCCACAGAGATTTAGCAGCGAGAAATATTCTCGTTGGAGCAGATAACACTTTGAAGGTATAGGAATATGTAATAGTATTGCACGATTAATTGGCTCTTACCGGAATATTTGTTAAACTCAATGCTCTAATATGTAGATTTCAGACTTTGGCCTCTCGCGCAGCGGTATATACGTCATCAGAAGTTGCAAAGGCAAAACACACCACCTTCCTATTAGGTGGATGTCACCGGAGGCTCTGCGTGACCGCTCATTCTCGTCGAAAAGCGACGTCTGGTCTTTTGGAGTAGTATTATGGGAAATCTGCACATACGGTGCTTTCCCCTATTCAAACGTGCAGGACGACCGTTTATCGAGCTATATAGTTAAAGAGAATGGACGTTTGGAGCAACCCGACGATATCTCTCATGACATTTACAACGTAATGCGTTCGTGTTGGATTACGGAGCCCGAGAACAGGCCGAATTTTATGCAGCTGCTTTTGGAGCTACATAACCTAACAAATTCGTGCATTACCTCACAACGATCGACATCTAACTGTTACGCGCTGTCAATTTAAGTGGATATACTTGAAGTCCGAGCAAGTTTAACATGTATACCGTCGAGTTTCAGATTAAATTCAATTTGGAGAAAATCAAACGTTCACTTACAAATTGCTGTCAATGTCGGTGAGCAACGATCGGGACGCTTCCAATTGGAGAGAATCGAATCAATCGATGGGCAAACTTAATTTTGATTTGCCACGGCAATGTCGTTTTTTATGTATGCGTATGATGATAACGGAACAGCTGAACCTATCCCACTCTTACTGTAAGGGCATTACGTCAAATATAAATACAAAACCTGACCTGACTCTGACATCTCAATCGCTTCCTCTCCTCTTTTCTCTTCCTTCCTTTTCACTTTCTCCTTTTCTCTATCTCCCCACCAAATGCAAAGTTTGTTATCGAACAGGTGGCACTGGTCTCTGATACATCATTAATTTTCAAACTTTGGAGATTTCGTTTATGGAATTTTGCAACTGAAGAATCTGGAATAAAGTCTTAACTACATTTCTGTTGAATTTTTGTATAGATCTGATGCATAATTATACTATTTATTAAAGATTTTCGAAAGGGGAATTTTGGAACAAATGATTCGTGCCGCTTCTCCTATAAAGATTCATGCAAATTCCGGCACGAATTTTCTGCTGCTCCTAAACAGCCGAATAGCGCCACTCCGATGCAGCGGCAAAACGCTCAAACTATTAGCCAAATTACCGACAGGTCGGTAAATGCCTTGAAATTGATTGCCAGCGCCATCTGTCGGCAAATAGTATGACTTCTTGGTCGGTATTTGGCGAACAGTTTGAGCGTTTTGCCGCTGCATCGGAGTGGCGCTATTCGGCTGTTTAGGAGCAGCAGAAAATTCGTGCCGGAATTTGCATGAATCTTTATAGGAGAAGCGGCACGAATCATTTGTTCCAAAATTCCCCTTTCGAAAATCTTTAATAAATAGTATAATTATGCATCAGATCTATACAAAAATTCAACAGAAATGTAGTTAAGACTTTATTCCAGATTCTTCAGTTGCAAAATTCCATAAACGAAATCTCCAAAGTTTGAAAATTAATGATGTATCAGAGACCAGTGCCACCTGTTCGATAACAAACTTTGCATTTGGTGGGGAGATAGAGAAAAGGAGAAAGTGAAAAGGAAGGAAGAGAAAAGAGGAGAGGAAGCGATTGAGATGTCAGAGTCAGGTCAGGTTTTGTATTTATATTTGACGTAATGCCCTTACAGTAAGAGTGGGATAGGTTCAGCTGTTCCGTTATCATCATACGCATACATAAAAAACGACATTGCCGTGGCAAATCAAAATTAAGTTTGCCCATCGATTGATTCGATTCTCTCCAATTGGAAGCGTCCCGATCGTTGCTCACCGACATTGACAGCAATTTGTAAGTGAACGTTTGATTTTCTCCAAATTGAATTTAATCTGAAACTCGACGGTATACATGTTAAACTTGCTCGGACTTCAAGTATATCCACTTAAATTGACAGCGCGTAACAGTTAGATGTCGATCGTTGTGAGNAAATTCCGGCACGAATTTTCTGCTGCTCCTAAACAGCCGAATAGCGCCACTCCGATGCAGCGGCAAAACGCTCAAACTATTAGCCAAATTACCGACAGGTCGGTAAATGCCTTGAAATTGATTGCCAGCGCCATCTGTCGGCAAATAGTATGACTTCTTGGTCGGTATTTGGCGAACAGTTTGAGCGTTTTGCCGCTGCATCGGAGTGGCGCTATTCGGCTGTTTAGGAGCAGCAGAAAATTCGTGTCGGGATTTACCTGGTTTCTTATGCAAAATGTGGCACGAATCATTTGCTCGGATTTTCAATGTTGGAACATAAAACGGAAAATCGTATATAACTAATTAATAACGATTCAAATATCCGGGAAATTATTGGAATCATATTGTTAGAGCCCTGTTCTTCATTTTGCGATCATAAAAGTGCACATATTATGCCTGTGGCATAACAAAATTAATTGTTTTATAAGAACTATTATTGTTAGGCAGCTTAACGATTCGTGCCGGATTCAAAGAAAATCAATTTCAATGCTTTCCCGTTCGAATTTTTAAGTGTTTCGCATACCAAATTAAAGCTCGAAGAATATACTTTCCGATAGGCATAACTCGATCGAAAAATAATTACCGTATAGGTTAGAAATTTAAGAAAATCTACAGAGTGTCCGGAAGACCTAACTTTCGACTGCATGGATTCCGGAAAAATGATAATTCTATGCATTCCCGTGGAGATTTTTTAACGTTCGAAGGCTCGGATCGAAGCTCAGGAAATGTAGTTTACAACGAACGTATTAAAAAATTGCGTTTACGCAAATCACGTGCTCGCGCGTACGTTTTCTAGCAGCGTAACTCTTTAGGAGGGGGTTAAACAAACAAAAGAGAAAGGGAACTTTCTCGTGGCACGAGAAAAAGAAGAAAAAGTCAAACAATTTCCCTTTCGTAGCCAGAAACGTAACGCGATATCACCTTTTAGCTGGCTCTCGGCCACGGTCGACCTTGGGTCGAACGGTTCGAACGAAAATCGACTATCTATCCAGAACGGAAATGATCGACGACCGGACCGTAGGCGAATTGTCGCATAAGGTGCATGTGTCGGTAGCGGCAAGACCAACCGTGAAAGAGAGTCGCGGTTGCCGCAGAGAAGGGATTCGTTCGATTCGCGAAGAAGGACCCGTAGAGGGGATGCGCCGAGTTACCCTCTTTAACGGGAGAAAGGGGGCGACCTCGAAGCCCTTCGCATCCCTTGCTCGTCGCATCGCTCTATCCGCCGAGGTACTCGCGTCAGTTTCGCCGACGATGGACTCGACCGGACGCGTTTCCACCGATTTTCCTGCCCGCTAACCACCCTCGCAGCCGTTCCGCCGCCGAGAGAGCAACGCCGAGCGACACGCGACACCATTTTTATCGCGGCCGAGCAGTCGCGGGGCAAGGTAAGTGGACACGTAACGCAGAGTGCATTATGCATCGGGACACCGAGCAGCGACGAGAACCGCGCCGCGCCGCACCGCGTTCGTCGAACACGCGAATCGAATTCTCGGCCAAGTAAAACGGTCTTCGACGTCCGATATACGATATTCGGATCGCGAATACGCCGCGTCCTCGAGTTGCATATCTCCGAGAGAAACATCCTACCAGAATTTCGGAAGCAGAATTTCCTAGCGGATCCGCGGCGGAAACGTCGCGAGTGCGGTTTCGTTTTCGTTCCGGTCAGAGGCTGCGGAAGGAAAGTCGGGCAAACCGACTCGCGGCGCGAGTCGCGGCGGTTGCATCGATTTTGCCTCGAGTTGGTCGTTGCGGTCGTGGTCGCCCTCCCGCCTTGTCCTAGATCGGGGGATCCTCGGATCGCGGATAAATCGCGGAGGACCGCGAGGGTGGCGAAAGTGCATCGAGGAGATTCCGTGAGGAGAGAGAGAAAGAGGGAGAGAGAGAGAGAGAGGCGAGGATAGGAGAGGAGAGGAGAGGAGAGAGGTTCCGCGGAGGGTGTATTCGGTCGGGTTTGCCGCTGCTGCCGCCACCGGAAGCGCAGCGGGGCGTGTGTGACGGATGCACGGCCGGAAAGAGAGGGAAACTAGGCAGCATCGTGGCGAAGGAGAGAGCGCAGGTACACGTATCTGGCTATCTACGAGTGTACTAGCACCGAGGCATATGGGTCTATACCGTGCGTTGGCTCGGAGGACGACGGGTGCTGCGACGATATCGATCCCCTACGCAATATCGTGTTGTCCCCAGTAGCGTTCCTCGTGTCTGACTCACACCGGCGCCGAGTCGCGCCGCGAGAACCCCCGCTGCTCGCACCCCGAGCTTCCCGGGTAGTCCGCGGACAGTCCTGCGACCCGGAGACGCGCCGATATTTCCGAGTCCGAAGCTTTCGCTCCGTTCGCAGAAGGCGTCCTCGAGCAGTCCGCGCGCTGGTCCGTCGTCCGGAGCTGGCCGAAGATGTGGGGACGAGCTAGTATGGCAGCCGTGATGGTGCTCCTCTGTCTGGGCGTCCTCGACCTGGTCCGTTGCGAAGGTACCGTCCACTACGAACTCTCTGTCTCCCCGATATCCCCTTCCCCAAGGCTAAGCTGGTTCATCGTCGGAGGCCGCGTTTCCAGGGAGCGTCGCCGACCTCGGATCCGGCGACGCCGAGGCGGATAGCATCCTGGAGCGAGGCACTGCATGGCTGTGGAGCCAGCGCGACAAGGACGCCGGCTGGGGAAACGACACCCATCGAGTCCTCCTGGTGATCCGACTAGGGAACCTCTCCAAGGAGGACAACGTCGCCCCGCCGGTGCCGCTCGAGCTGCAGCTCAGCAGCAAGCAAATGGAGCTCGAGATCGTGCTGCTTCTCTGGAGGTAATCCGACGGTTCGACGATTCGACGACGATTCGACGACACCGAGACGTCGATTCGAAGCTCCGCCGTTGTCGGTCGGGGCTTCTAACCCGACGCGTCTTAACCGTAACCCAAATCCGGTTATCAACGAAAGGTTGCCCGCTCTGACCGCGAGTCAGAGTTCTTAACCCTTTCACAGGCGCTGGGAACCGAGCTTCGCGAGCACTTTTAGCGCCTATATCGACACCAGGCTCGAATATTCCGCTGCCGTCTGCACAAGGTGTCCGAGAAATGTCTCGTAATTTTTTATTCGGAGTAACTTTTTCCTTAGCGAAGATGCAACTCGTGGCTTCGTTTACGAATTATTAAGGAGAAACAGCGACCAATGAGAGTCGAGATCCAGCTGGCGCGAGACCGCCCAGTTGCTCTCATTGGCTCGGCCGTCTGGCGCCAGCTGATCCCGCCTCTTATCGGTCAGAGTTTCTTGTTAATCGTTCCTTAAACATTTCTAGATTGCGAGACATTTTTGGGACACCCTTTACGTAGGCACCATCGCCGGTGATTTTGAGGGGTGTAGAATTAAAAATAACAGGAAATCGAATAACAGCTGATAAAATTATGGTAAATGAAATGTTCCAATTTTTGAACATTTTCGAACGTTCGTATCGTGTCCATGAAAGGGTTAACTCCTAGAAAGAACAACAATAAATTTACAAAGCAGGGATCGGAAATGGTTTTAATCGGATTGCGGAATACTAATAATAATATTTCTCTGTTTTCCGAACGATTTTAATCCAGCTTTCGACCCTCGGTTCCAGGCACAGGGAGGTCGGCCTGTCGCCGGTGCGGCTGGCGCGCTACACGCTCGCGCTGAACGCGATGTGCACGGACCCGAGACAGTTCCACGGCCACGACCTGATCGGGACACTTCAGCATCACGAGCCGCCGACCGACTACGAGTTCGCCCTGACTACCTTGGCAGCGTGTAACGCGCAAGCTCACGTTCGCAAGAGGCAGATCCGCCGGCTGCTGGACATCGCCAACGCCGCTCAGGACCACAACGTCGGTCAGTCTCTCGCGTTCTCTACGAGACTGCAGCACCTCTGCCGTAACTGTCGTACGATAGACCCTTGACATAACCTTGACGTAGACCAGGTGGGACGGTTGGCCATAGCAGTTGGGACGGTTGGCCAGAGAATGCTGTACGCATCTGCCACAACTGTCGCTCGATGGATGCGAGATTGGGACAGTTATGGAGAGAACACCGCGGTTCCTCCGTAACTGTCGCTCAACGTCGCAACTGTCGTACGGCAGATCCAGAGTTGAGACAGTTGGGGGGAGAATATTGTACATTTACCATAACTGTCGCTCAATGGATACAAAGTTCGAGCAGTTATGGAGAGAATACCGCGGTTCCGTCGTAACTGTCGCACAACGCCGCAACTGTCGTACGGCAGATCCAGAGTTGCGACAGTTGGGGAGAGAATACTACACATCTGCCATAATTATCTCTCGATAGATACAAAGTTCGAGCAGTTATGGAGAGAATATCGCGATTTCGCTAAACGGTGAACGCTCTTTCCGCAGACACGGTGGCGATGGTGATCCTGGCGATGAAGTGCATCGTGCAGGACCACAGACACCGCAACCTGCACCACTTCATGCGCACGCCGTCGATCGGGCTGGCGCAACAGCAGAGGCTGGACGGCAGCTTCGGGGACCTGAGGACCACGGCCCTGGTGATGCAGGCTCTGGAGGAGGCGGAGAACGAGCCCGCGGATAACTGGAACAGGTCCGCCGTGTTGGCTTGGCTGACCAGCCAGCAGAGGCCGGACGGCTCTTTCGGCGGCGATGTCAAGGCCACCGCGGAGGCGCTGCTCGGGGTCACCCCGCGGGGCCTGTCCAGCATCAGGACGCTGGACTGCGGACAGGGTCTGGCCGACACGTCGCCTCCCAGGCTCACCACCGTCGGCAACGGCAGCGGCAACGGGATCAACGCGAACGGGAACACCAACGGTGAGGATTCTATCTTCGGTCCAAGGTCTCCGGGGCAGCCGTCGCTCCGGAAACTGCTTCGTTCTCGGCCCGCCGAAGCGAAAAATACGAAATGATAAATCAGGCCGAAATTAGGGAGACCGAATTGACACAGCCTCGGTTCCAGAGCCGACGATATCGAGCAACCACAGCGAGGTGTCCTCGGCGACGCTGGCGAGCAACCTGAACAACACCGCCGGGAACGGCGAGTATGGGAGCAGCGGTAGCTCGGGGGTCGTCGGCAACGGCAACAGCAGCAACAGCAACAGCAACAACAGCAGCGGTGGCAACGGTAAGGCCGGTTACACCGGATGGAAAGAGGCGAGCGCCGGGAACAACGCGTTGAACGGCAGCAACACGGACAGCGGGACGATCGTCGGAACGACGGCGCCGGTTATGGTGAACGTCTCGTACACCCTGTGGGTCGGCAGCAACGTGAACGAGACGTACAACCTGACCGTGACCGCTCCGAAGAACGAAACGTTCTACGAGGTGATGCTCCTCGCGGCGGAGATGTCGCCGCACTTTCAGTTCGTCGCGTTCGACTGGCCCAACGGGCATTACCTTCACACGATAGCCGGCTACAAGGAGGAGCCGCTCACTTATCATTTTTGGCTGCTGTATCGGCTCCCTTCGCCGCCGGACCCTAGCTCGCCGCCGGGCAATCAACTGGTTGCCCCTGGAGGTACGTTTTAAGATTTCTCGATTTGCCACGGGGTCGGTCGGTCGGATCGCGAGAGTCGTTATTTCGGTTATAAATTCTCTCCGATTGGCGCTCGGATTGCGCGCGAAAGTGGACAGTTTCGGAAGAGGAGATACGATTGTGCGAGCCTACTTTTGTCGAAGTTTCAAATTTTCGAGGAAATTGTTGATATTCGAGCAGCTATAACTCTGTGCAAAAAAATCGTATAGCAATGGAACTAGGTTTATTTTAAAGCCCGAAGTTTCTACTTTCGGAGACCGTCAGTCGATTTCTTGAATAAAATTTATTCGCGACGCGGTAGATGGGAATCCTCGTTCTAGATTTTACCAGTTTCGTCGAAGCTTCAAATTTTCGAAGAAATCGTTCATATTCGACGGGCTACAACTCTGTGCAAAAAAATCGTGTAGCAATGGGACTAGGCTCATTTTAAAGCCCGAAGTGTCTACTTTCGAGAGATATTAGTCAGTTCCTTCTAAAAAAATTTATTTACGATATGACGGATGGGAAACCTCGTTCTAGATTTTACACAAAATCTCGAACTTTCGAAAAATTGTTGATGTTCGAACAGCTATAACTTTGCGTGAAAAAATCGTAGAGCGATGCAACTAGACTTATTTTAAAGCTGAAAGTATCTACTTTCGGATGCCGTTCGTTGATTTCTTCAAAAAAATTTATTCGCGACACGGTGGATGGGAAAGCTCGTTCCCGACTTTACCCGAAATTTCCAACCTTCGAAACATCGACTATATTCGCAATACCGTAACTTCGCGAGTAAAAATCGCAGAACAACGAAACTAAACTGATTTTGAAGCCTGAAATCTCTAGTTTTGCCGTGTGTGATTCGTATTCGTCGAAAAAATTGTTCGTCGACCGGGAATTGCCGTCGGATTCGCTTGTAGACCGTGGCATAGCTTAGCAACGACGATCGACCGGCACAGATACAGGCGGGAAAGTTAAGGGTGGGGAGGGGTGTGTGTCGCGGCTCGTCGACCGACCCTGGCGTTCGCGTTTTTCCCCGTTCCACTGGCATACTCTAAAACCGATCGATTTCAGGCGTCGACGACCTGCAAATCAGCGAGGGTGAGCACTATCTGTTCTGGTACAGGAGACTGTAAAGTGCAACGAAACGTTTCGACGCTCGGTCGGGACTGTTTTTCAAGTATTAAATACATAGAAAACGGAGACATCGCGCGCGCGAGCGAGACGAACGAACCGAGAAAGAGAGAGAGAGAGAGAAAGAGAGAAAAAAAGAGAGAGAGATGAAGCGTGAAAGGGGGAGAGAGAGAGAGAGAGAGGGAGAGAGAGAGAGAGAGAGAGAGAGAGAAAATTGGTAGTTGCTCGAGCTCGAGAGACGAAAGGAGGACGAAAAAGCTCGCTCTACTCACTGCCATCGCTAAGCGACGTATTCCAGGAATACAGTTTCGTACGGAGGAGGCCGTCGTACGTCAACTTGTTCGGGAGATGCCGAGACAGTAGAGCTGGCAGTGACAGTTCTGGAACTCTGCTATTCGACATAGGTAGAGATCATCGCCGAACCGGCGCGGCGCTTTCAACACATACACGCTATAAAAACCGCATACTTTTACGAGTGCAACGACGGAGGACTGACTAAGGAGGCCGATCCTTTCGCCGATGGGACACGGTAGTGCCACGCGTACCGTACCGTACCGTACCTTATCGTACAGTATCGTACCGTATCGTAAACGTAAACGTAAACGCAAAAACGTAAAGGTAAAAAAAACCGTAATCGTATCGTATCTCGTAAAACCGTAACCGTAAAAGAACGTAACGTAACCGTAAACGTAATTGTAAACGTAAACGTAATCGTAATCGTAACCGTAAACGTAATCGTATCGTATCGTATCGTATCGTAATTTAAGCTAAATGCATAACATTTTCTATGAAACTGCAATGCACAACCACGTTGTACCTATTTACATGATATGGTGATATCGCAACGACGACAACACAGCCCTATCGATTGATATTCAATGAATCCCGCATCCGTGAGGTGAGATTAGCGCGAACCGATCGTCATCGACACACACACACACACACATACACACATACATGCATACCTACATACATATAAACACGCGACACGTGCACACATACACAGACACACAGACGTACACCCGCTCTCCTCGATCGTCTCTCGCTGCCGCGTGTTTTTGCTTCACAACGATCGATTACTATCATTTTGACTTGCGCCGCGACGCGGACCTAAACGATCCACTAATACATAGATTTTAAATCGCGGTGAAACGCGGCCGCTTTTCGAACATGATCGAACGGTTCTCTCATCGTTTGCCTAACGAACCAGTGTGTACGGTTTTCTTTGCAACTTTGATGCTAAATAAAGCGTAAAACCACCAATCGCCCCTCTGTTGTACGTTTACTCTGTCTCTTCTTCGCTCGCCGATCTCTCGTCGAGATCTATGGATCGCCACGAGGCGATCGGCCGTAACGGACGATCACGATCTGCAGCAGTTGTTCTTTTAAGAGAGTCTCTCTTTCATTGAATTCGGAAGGATGTAGCAGAGAAATTCGCGTCGTTGTTCTCTGGGCGGCGTTTTTTCGCTGCAACGAGACACGCTTCGCGTTTAAGCTTTTCAAGTTCAGGAATTATAGTAAATTCTCTCGAATTTTCCTTCAGCTTGCAAAGAAAAATGGAGAACTTGGGAGCCTCGAGAATTATAAAAAGAACGAGGTTGTGTTAAAGTTATCAGAGAAAATTATGTTCGCGCATCAGAGAAAATACAATTTTTAAAAGATTGTCAATTCGTCGTCCATTTATATTATTACCGGTTGATTTCGAGGTAGATTCGAGCTGAGGCCGATCGATATCGACTCTTTGCCCTCGAGTTTCACCTCCGAAACGCCACTCAGGTTCCAAAATAATGTTCGCTCTATCGAATTTGTTCGTACATTAAAATCCGTTCAAAGTGCACCAATTGTACGAGTCGCAAGACTCAATGTCACAAAATGCACAGATTGGCAACTCGTATAAAATGGAAATAAGTAAAAAAGAAAACTATTTCGGATTTAAACTAAAAACAGCTTCGAGCGCAAAGTGGCAAATTAAAGTTCGCACGTTTGTTAAAAATAGAAAATCGCATCGGAATTCGACGCTGGTTCCACAGATTTCTACCCCTTTGCAGTCGAACAGTGACTCGAAGTCACCGCTAAAAATGATCATATCGCGTTTCAAAATCATTTTAATATCGTCAAATTTGTTTATATCTTTAAAAGAAAGATCTGTTAAAATCCTAACCGTTGCACCGGTGGCAAAATTCAATTTCATAGATACAAAACGCGCTAAATTATACAAAATGGAAATACCATCGGTCGTGAAAGCTATTTCGATTTTCAATTAAAAATGACACCGACCGCGAAGGGTGAACGTTTCCGCGGATTCGAACCACCGCTCGCGAATCATCCCCCGATTCCTCTATCGAGCGAGCCGCGGCCGAACAATCCGTGGAACTTAGGCGAACGGTCCATCTGGCCGCTGCAGCCGGCAATCGCGACCACCCACGCGTTCTCCGGCTCCGTCGATAAACCTGGCGGCGAAGCTGCTGCTGCTGCTCCGTCAGCTCCGTTCGAAACGTCGAGTTTCCCACGGGTCGAGGCGAACAGGTAAGTGAAAACGATTTCGAAATCATTCCGATCGATGCACGCGACTCACGCGACCGAGGGTGCACCCCCCATAGTCTGCGACTCCGTAGGGTGCATTCCCTTCGAAGCCTCGATTTCTCTTTTGCACCCCCGCGCCGTCGCCGGCCTTTTCCTAGTTTCACCCCTCTCCCTCTCTCTCTCTCTCTCTCTCTCTCTCTCTCTCTATCGGTATATCGTTGCAATTATGCGGATATAGGAAGCGCGTGCGAATCGATCGATGCTCGCGTGTCGGGGAAAATGGAAAACTCGCGAAGGAGGGAAACGGGAAACGCGTCGATGAAATTCGAACGAGCAGCGGACCGCGGATCGTCGGCACCTGTGCGATTCAGCCGCGCGTAGGCTCCGTCTTCGAATCCTCGCGGGGCGACGACAGTGTCAACTTTGACCCGGAGCGTTTAAATCGTTCGCTCGGTTACTGGATCGTCGGCAAATCGGATCAAACTAATCGACCGAATCGCTGTCGCGTTAGGAAAACAACGAAAAGGGCTAATAAAAGTCCGCGAGAAAGATAAAAAATGCGTTCAAGATTTTGAAAAATCCTTGAGAGAAGCGCCGAATAAAGCTCGAAATTGTTATAAATATCGCGAAGGAGGTTGCGAAAATGGTCCGTGCGAAAATGGGTTGAACAACGACTCCTTCGGAAGCGTGTGGACCGCTTTTCTTAAAGCGGTTCGGTTAAATTCGGCTCGCTGTCACTTGATTATGGTTTCGTCGCGCCCGCGTTTCCTGCAAACTCTGATCGTTGCTATAAAAAAGCAGAAATGCCGGTCACTTTTGTATACCTTAACTAACGAGGAGTACGCCGCGTATAATATTCGCACGGAAAAGCTTTCGACGCGTTCGCGATTTAAAAAAAAATTAGAAGTTCGCGGTTGCGTTACAATTTCGTCGCGGTGTGAGTTTAGAGAGACTCATTTTTAGAGACTCAATTTTAGAAACTCGTTCGATCGGCACAAGAGTTTCGCGTTCGCACAGCTAGGAAGTTGGACGAAGGACAGCTGGGTCGTTCGTAGGTGCGCTTTAACGTGCGGTCTTCTTTAAACGCGGGTCGCGCGAGGAGCAGCTCGCGTGCCTATTGTGTCGGATGATCAAGGAGGAGCGCGTCGAAGAGGATCGCGAAGAGAAGGAGGAGGAGGAGAAGGGGGAGGATGAGATGGATGAGGATGAGAAGGAGGAGGAGGAGGAGGAGGAGGAGGATAGATCTCGGGAGCACGTCGAAGTAGAAATAAACAGAGAAGGGCGCGCGTTCGAATCGCGTTCTAATCGGCCGATATATGCGATAGCCTAGACGACACCGGGCTTAAGTCGAACCCGCTACGCGTTCGATGATACCGTGAAGCGGCAAGCGGGAACCGGGAAAAGGGAAGCGGGAAGCGGGAAGCGGGGCTACAGGGATTAATCATTGAGCACGGTCTGGATGCAAAATGGCTGCGATCGATCCATCGCGCGGCGATGCGCTGGCGAAATGATTTCGTAACGAGGTTCTCCCGACGTTTCCCTCTCTTCGCCTAAACGTCTGTCCATTTATACATTCGTCTCTGCCCGCTCCCTCTCGCTCTCTCTTTCTCTCTCTCTCTTTCTATCTCTCTCTCTTTCTTTCTCCTTCGCTCTGTTCCATCCCGACAGCCCTCCCGCGACCGAAACCAGACCTCCTGACTGCTTCTCCTTCCCTCTGACGTTCGTCCGTCCGACGTCTGGTTCACGACCTCGTTCTATTCTTGCTGAAATTACGACGCTTCGTCGGGTCCGTTAGAGACCGGGCACACTTGCCGCTCGCGACTCGCCGACACCGCCGGAAAAAAAAGAAGAAAGAAAGAAATACGCGC